ACTTTGCCCCCCCACCAGTCTGGTCAATTAAGAGCCAAGGCCCCATGGCAGGCACCAGCTCCGCAAAGTGCCTGGCACCAGTGTGGTTGAAACAGGGCTAAACTGCCACAAAACCCCACGGGAACAGCAGAGACCTCGGCTAAAGGGATTGTGGTGGCGGAGAGAAGCGTTTTGGAAGAAGGGTCCCCTCCCGAGACCACCATGACCCTGGCTGCCACCTAAAGCAGCAAGAAAGCAGCAAGCGCCGTGGAGCATGAACGAGTATCACATCTTGTGGAAGAAGTCCTTAATCAGTGGGCAAATTACACGGGGTAAGTAATTGCTCCATGTAGGAATGCAGAAACATCTGACAGCGCCATTAAAGGAGCCCTCGGGAGATCTCTATCAGAAGAGGTAGCCTGTCTCACTAGGGCTATAATTAATGGCTCTCTGGTTCCAGAACAGCACTTTAAACATGCAACAGGCGGACACAGGAGCAGCCTGGCACCGGGCACCACTGCCCAGCTTTAAGAAGTTTCTCAAATAATTAGTGCACTACCCAGAGGCAGGCGGGCCCAGCTTGCCCAATGCTTTGTTTCAGGCAGTAGAAAAGGAAAAAATGTCTTTTTCATGCAGGCTCATTCTCAATCTTTCCAGAAGGAGTGGATATTCCAGTTTCCAAGCTGGCAGGACGCATGTCCTGAACACACGCTCCAGGCAAGGTGGACCAGAGGATGCTGCCCACTGAAGGACACTCAGGCCTGATGGGAGGATGCAGCCGCAGCTCTGGTCCAGCAGCTGAGACAGGCAAAAGGCAGAGCAGAACTCAGGGCGCAGTAGTGAGAGCTGAGCTGGGGGCTGAAGGGCTGAAAGGCCAGCAGGGATCTGGGGGAAATGAAGTGCTGGCTGGCATTTCCCTAATGTAACAAGGAAGCCCTCAGTCCGGGAGCAGCTCTGCAGCCGGAGCTAGCTGTCCTCCTCGGAGCAACTCAGAACGGCCGTTCCCTCTCCCCTGCTCCCCTGCACAGAGCTCACCAGTGCTCTCCCATGCGCTCCGAGCCGGGCAGAACGGCCCATCTCTCTCCAACCCAAACCAAGAGGCAGGTTCAGGCACCGTACCTGGCTGGCTGCCGCCCTTTGTCTGCTGGCAGGAAGCACGGCCAGGCCCAAGGACGCGCAAGAAGCTCCTGCTCCATCAGAGGCAATTTTGGGAGCTCGGCTGATGCCTCCTGTGCACGCTTTCACTGCCACGATGTGCCTGTCTCACTGCCCCTTCTTCTTGCACCGGCACACCTGCTAATTAAAAACTTCATTAGCCTTCCACTCATTAGCAAAGTCTGCTGGTCACCCCCTTTGGCTTTCCTTGGTGACGTCTTTGGCATCCCTCGCAAAACCAAGCTGTGGGGCGTAGAGTTTTCTAATTAAAGCTGATGGCAGGAAGGATAAGAGCAGGCTCAGCAACACCAACAAGCAAGCAAGCGATGGTTAGCGGGGAACACAATCAGCGTGCTCTGCTCTCGGCCCGGGAGAAGCTCCCTGCGGCAGGCGGAGGTGGGAAGCCACGACACGGAAAAGCAATCAGGGGCTTCACTGCACAGCCCACACTGAGGCGGCAACGACTCCCCTCCTCCCGACCAGCTCGTCCAACCCTGGCCGGGAAGAACATGCTATAATTTTGATAATGGGCAAGACCGGGTGTTGCAATCTGATGCAGCCTGGCACAGCGCACTGGATGTGCTGGGAGAAGACCTTTCTTCACCAAGGACACTAAGCCTGCTCTGAACACCCAGGCAAGAACTCCCCCGGCTACAGGAGCCGTCTCCAGCCTTCCCCACTTCTCCAGCAGGGACGTTCTCTCGCTTCCCACCTCGCCCCGCCAGAACAGCCTGGAGGTTCCCCAGGCTGCCTGAGCACTGCTCATCGTCTTGCATGCTTAAATCCCCCTTTCCCATGATTTTGACCTGGCCTCCGCACTCTCTCTACGGCCCTCTGTCGCGTCCAAACAGGGCAGCCAGGCACTAAGCACCCTGAGCGCAGCAGAGTTTGGAAAGGCTTTAGACAGTGCCAGTGTCCCAGCAAAAAATGCCAGCAGAGGTGCGTTGTCCTAGACCTCCCCCGGCTCCCCATCTCCCGAGGGTTTCACTCTGCTCCAGCCCATTCCCCTCTTGAGGAGCAGAAGGAAAACCGCATCATCCAACCCTTGTGTCAAAACAGGCCCAACTCATCACCTCGAACAGTAGGGGCAAGGTCTGGAGGTTGATTTACAAGCTGCCGACGTGGTACGGGAAGCTGAACAAAGTTCTCTGTTAACTTCTTCAAGATGTGGCTTAGAGAGCGTGAGCCTGGAGCCCCCCCGGCTCCACACGTCCGTGTTCGCTGCCTACCGACCCTGCCCCGCGGGGAGGCTGATTACAAGCAGCTGCCCATCGGGGCTGCGACCCACACAAGGGGAGCGGCAGCACCACGCCGCTGGGGAGGACGGGCGAGCAGGACCGGCTGCTTCTCCTCTTCCAGGCCTCTGCCTAAAGACGGGCACCAGCAACCTCCCTTGAGAGTCCCCACGAGCACCGCACAAATGCAAATGGGAACGGTTGACTTTCCTCCGCTGACGGGGACGGAAATGCAAACCAGGAATGCATCTGCTGAGCAGCTTACCCAGACACTTCAGCTTCCACTCCAAGGGCCCGTTTACACTTCTCGGTAAACAACAAGCCACTTCCCTGCACTCTTAGACCCAAAAGTAGGAGGTAAGTCTTCACCAGAGAAGAGCTCAGGGTATCAGACCAGAAAATAGGTTTTTTTTGATGGGAACTCTCATCACGACTGCTCTGGCTTCACTTAAGCCGAAGCTGTTCTCCATTCTCTAACCCTCTCAGCTAATAGCTGGGATATAATAGACCTGGCTGTCCTCCCGCACTTGTCGAAGACACTACAAATAGACTCTCTGGTATAAACACATCTACTTGTCTTGGATATGGCCTGGCAGCAGAAGTATAAATGAATCTGTAACCTCAAATTAACAGTGAATGAGCAAAAACTAGGGAATCGTTACTGCGGAAGGAATAGGCAAGCTGCACTGTGCCCTCCTGTGGTCATCTGGAAGAGCATTTACTTTCTTTAATGCCAAAACCTGGAGGCAGTTTGGAGGTACCATGGGCTGCAGAGGCTAGGTCACGTTCACCGGCTTCTTCACATTTGCACAATTTCGGCGAACAGCATCAAAGAGTGTGTGCAGACCCAGAGCTCTGTGTGCTTGTGAGTAAGGGTGGATTTTGGCCAGTGGGTAAAACCTCTACAACACTACTGAATGGACACGTCGGCATCCTTTTTTGACCCACCACCTATCTGGACCTACTCTGCATTCACCAGCTTACTTTGTTTCGCTGCATTTATTTTTTTCCACTTTGACACGCATGAGAAAGACAGGGGTCAGTCATTAGGGTGAGGTTTCACACCACCTTCAGAGATTCTCCAAACAGCAGGCACGTGGCTAACATCTGGAATGCTGGGGTCTGCTTCCAATGGCCTCTGACTGACCGTGGGTATTTACCATGACAGCGTCCCCTCGGAAACTTCCTTAGAGCCAGGGAAGGTGTTGTCAATACGGTCAGGTGAGTCCACCTTGCAATAGAGTAGACCCAGACATGGATGCCATAAGCATGGGGAGACCCAGTGGTTTCCTCCCAGAAGCAGGAGAAACTCTCTACTCACCACTTACCTCTTTCAGTACCTGGAGTAGCAGATATTAGGAAAAAAGGGAATATTTTAATTCAAGGGAGTACCACACTTTGCTTTTCTCTTCCTTCTCTAAGCACATTTTTGCATTTAATATTTGGCTTTTACAAGGAATAGAAGCAAGTTGCACTTCAGCAGTTGTACGCACTTGTACTCAGGGGCATCTCCAACTGAGATTTCGGGACGGGACTCAGACTGGAATGCTCACTGTAGCTGGAGTGAGAGACCTCAGTCACCCTGCCATACACTGGTGGACTGAGAAGAGACCTGAGGGCCACCCTCACCAGCAAGTTTGTGATCCATGGAAAATCACCAACTAAAATTGCTAGCAGAGTGAGAGATCTCCCAGGTGTACTTCTGTGCCGCACAAAGACGGGCTGCAGTCTGCCCTCACCTGGCCAAGCGGAAGGCCATGTACCTTTTCCAGTTTAAAGCGCTCAAATGATTTCCTAACAAATCAGTGCATCCCCCAGAGAGCATGAGATTGCTTAGACACTGAGCACCCACTGCGCCCGCTCAGCCTGGACTGTTAGCAGCATTTACCCGGGTTAGCAGTGTACGCTCTGTTTGCGAAACCAGCCCCTTTGCAAGGAAAACAACGGGCCCTTGCAGCCAGGTGGTTTAAACATCACCCATTCCTAACAAGAAGCTGCTGAAACGGGGCTTTGACATCGGACACGGGTGGCTGCAATGCCATGTCAGGTAGGGAGCTTTCTGGCTTTGCAAGGTCCTAACAGAACCGTCTGTGGCAGCAGGGCAGTGCCCTGCGTGAAAACCAGAAAATCAAACTCTTAAAGCCTGGTTCCAGATAGGTTAGGCAAGACAGTAAGCAGCTACGTACAGAATGAAGTCTTGATTACAAAGAGATGTCAGCTAGATGAGGATTTTGCTGTGGAAGCACAGTAGAAGTTGGAATAAAACCCCAGCCGAAAGGCTCCAGCGGGAAGTCCCATTAACGCGCTGCTCCTCCGACGCTGCTGATGTGATTCCAGCGTTGTGACTGGCAACGCTAAAGCTCGGCAGGAAACGGCAGAGGCTGGCAATGGACACAGATGGGAAAGCAACAGATCTGGAGAGGCAGGAATGAGAATCAGACCCAAGAAACAGCTTCGGGAAGATGCATCAGGAACTGGCAAGAGAAGAAAGGGTGGATTTGTCAGTGCTTGTCTGTTCAAGAAGCTGTAAGACACCTGAAAGGCACCTGTAAAACACCTGCCTTTGGCACAGGGCGCAGAAAAGTTTTCTTCAGTTTTCTCCAGTCTTAGGAAATGAAAGAGAATCTTTGCTTGCAGCAATGGGAACAAAGGAGGCTTCAGCGAAAATAAATTCCTCACCAAAGAATTTTTGGACAATGACATTGTTACTCTCTGAAATGCCCTTACATTTCTGTTCTTTGAAATAGAAAACGCTGAAATGCTAAAAAGAAAAAAAATGTGCAGCTCCACCTAACTCGGAGAACAGTTTTATTGTTGATTTTTTGTAACATCAAAGCACAAATGTTAAAATATAACCCAGCTTCAGAAACATGTGGCTTCAGATTAGATATGCATGATTTTTATGCTGTGTCTGCTGTAAAGCACTGATTACTTTATGAGCAAATTAAGCTTTGCAGGGACAGGACTCTCCCGCTCCGGGGCGAGCCCGTGGGATGTATCCTTATGGAGTTATCCAGGAACAGCTTCTCCGCCAACAAACAGTGCCAAGGCAAAGTGGCACCGAACACGCAAACAGTCCTTAAAAGAATGGTGACCTCGGCCTTGAAATCTACAGTCAACAGTGATTACACAGGAGGAAGGAGGAGGGAAAAGGAGATGTAGATCGTGTTTCAGAGAGATTCACTTGGCTGCCTCAGAATGAGAAGAAAGTGGAGCTTCTGTGGCTCACCCTAACGGAAGGCTAAATTTAGACAGCAGACAAAGTTCTAGCTGAACCGATTCACCTACAAAGGGAGGAGAGGGAGAGAGGAAGAGAAAAAAAAAGACTGAAATAAAAAAGAAATAAAACATCTCCGTAACACCATTACATCCAGATATCAGAGGTACAATCTCCACCAGGGTAACGAATCTCATGAGCTAGGACAGGCCCATCGGGTTCCTTCCCAAAATCCACTAGGAAGTTTTTATTCACTTTCAATCCACCTCTTTCAGTATCCACATCAATCTGCAGCATAACAGAGCCTTCCCTGAAAAAGGGACAAGAAAACAGATATTGGGAAAAGGATTCACATTTGTTGCTCTTCTCTTCCATATTTGGGCAGGATTTGTCTTCGTTTAATACAAAACGGAAAGGACTCCAGATTTAAACTGGGGCTTAGCAGGTCTCAAAAGTGAGTTACATCGCCTCAGTGAAACCTGCAACCTCAAACTAGCACCAAATGAGTGAAAATTAATAGCTGTTGTTACTTCGGGAGGAATAGGCAGGCTGAACTATGCCCTCCTGTGGCCACCTGGAAGATCACCTTCTCCTTTCTTTAATTCCAAAAAACCAGAAGTCATGCTGATACACTCAAAGGCGTTTTGGAAGCCCTATGGACTCCAAGAGGCTAGGTCATGCTCACTGCTTTCTTCTCCTTCTCATCTACTTCCAAACAGATCATGATTTCAACAAATAGGGTGTGCAGAGCCCAACTTCTGTGTGCCTGTGAGCAGGGATGGATTCTGGCTCGTGGGGGAGACATCTAGGCTGGCAGGCTGCGTATAACAAGTTGCTGGCTTCAGTCTGCCTGCGTGGGAACTTTGCTCTCTGCGCCAGCTGGTGTATGTATACCACTATTTAAGAAAGAAATCTTGAGCATGGGCTTGTACAGTCATCCTTGTTTACCAAAGTTTTCTTACTTGACAAGATCCGGGTAGAACTGCTTGTCCCATCCGCTGTAGAGAGAGCTGCTGACATACAGTCTCTTCCCATCCAAGCTAAGCTGAATCATCTGAGGTCCACCTGGCACCCTCTTCCCCTAAAATGGTAACAGAGAACAAGGTGCTCAAGACAAGTTGCCACGGAGGTTGAACAAAAGAAATGCAACAGCAAGGAGAAACAAAATAGCGCGGCAGTTCTGCTACTCGGAGGACCACCCAGCACCCTGAAATCCTCGACACAAGAGCACCAAATCCCCTGTTTTGGAGAGAGAACGGTTTTTATTGGAAGTCTTATTCCTTACTAACAGGGAGCCCCGAAGTCAATCCAGATGAGTTCCACATAATTCACAGAATTGGTAACGTAAGGCAGGGCTGAAGTGTGCAGGTAGCTGTACCTGGCTGGAAGTGTCAGAAATCAAGAGACGGGTCACATAACGCACTATGCTGCAGCTGGGTCACAATCTGCACTACGAAGAAGAGGAGTATGTGGAACTTCCTGAAACTGTCTTCCGTGGCCAACAGATCTTAGCCATAATCATATTCAGCTCTGGCACATCCCATGAGACTTTCCATAGGTAGCTGCCTTGACAGTGATAATATTAATGCACATTGATAATGACCAGAGACAATTAATGCTCTTTCATTTTTCTAACAGGATGCCAGGTGCCGTCGAACTCTTTACGCACGCCCACCACTGCAGAATGAGCTGGTTTAGTGCTTTGACCATCAGTTGCTGCAAGATGATCAGAAGCAATGATGGCAGTGTGATGAATGCACACTGCATTAGCTTTAAATTAGCCAGCTAACAACAGCAGGGAAGATGTAATTACACAGGCTCCAGTGCAGTTGAACAGCTTGTCCAATTCCACCAGGGACCCAGAGCACTTACCGGGATTTACTAGCTCCAGCCCACGCTGAAATGTGGTACCTGCCCAGGCTGGAAGCGAGGACATAAATAGCCCAGATATGGCTTTCTATGTCATACATCGGACGGGGAGTTCAGAATGGATTGCCGTTAGCTGAGCACTGACAACGTGCACGTTAGGAAAACTTACTTTGATCACAAATGGCTCTGGCTGACACCGCAATTCCTTGTCTTCCACTACAGTTACAGGCCCACCCTTGGTGATACTGCCTCCCAGAAACACCTGTAACCAAGGGAACATGTGAGAACAGGCGGCGGCTATCAAGGGAACAGGAAAGCAATACAGGGACGATGCTCACGCAAAAGTGAATTGTCATTTTCTCCTTTTAAAAAAGAAGGAAATGAGAAGACACTACTGCCCTTGTACACCACAGCTTTTCTGCTGCTGCCTCACCTGCCCCACCAGCTTGGGCTTGCGGGTGTCGGAGATGTCGTACTGGCGGATGTCTCCGTGCAGCCAGTTGCTGAAGTACAGGAACCTGTCATCCAGCGAGATGAGGATGTCGGTGATAAGACCTTCAAGAAAATATTCAGTGGCAAAGTCAGGAAACTGACAGGACCAGCAACAAACAAGAGCACAAGCTTTCAAAATTCTAGTCCTGGTAGCCTCAGAAAAATATGTTAATGTACAGGTTGAACAAACACAGCCATCCTTGGAAACCCAGTGCCTACTCAAAGGCGGTTCAGGCTCTACCAGCATGCCCAGGACCGTTCCTGAATACCATGAGCTCATGCTGAAAGACCCAGACCCCAAGCATTTTTCTAGAGGAACTGACCTCAAGCACTGAGCAGCGTGGGAGCAGAGCTCTGACAAGCTCCTGCCTGGTGGCTCACAAGCAAGGCTAACCCAAACAGAAATTTAGGCTTTTACAAGGGAAGTGTTTGTCACTTAAGGATGAGATTTTGCAAAAAGCTACACTGTACCAGGGAGCTGAAGAGGACAACACCCCATTTCTTTTCCAGGCATGCTCGCACTAACCAGGCATGTCAGGGAGAAGCCATCCTTGCACCTTCTTGCTGGGTACTTCAATCACCTTCTCTGCTGCCCAGTCTCCTTTCTGCAGAAGGCACAGGAGAGAACACAGCGTTATTCCTGCCTTGGTGTGAGCCAAGAGGGCTCAGCTACGCATGGCAGAGGGAGGAGAAGCAAACAGTGCTATTTATTTAACAGGGCCTGTACAGAGGTGATACACACATTGCAAATAAGTGTTAGCAAGGGGTGAGGATGGTAACTACACTGCCGTTGAGAATGTTAATGATTACACGATGCAACAACATCTCAAAGGGATTGCTGTAACAGCGGCAGAACTAAAGCCTGCTAATCTCCCACAGTGTGGTGTCCTACCTGTCTCCGGCTCACCCTCCAGAACAGCAATAGCTCTGCTCCCCTGTCCATGGCCCCACCACTTCCCCTCCCTCCTCTACCTTCAGGTCTTCCCTATGCTTCCAAACACTGGCTGAGCAGCACACATGGACACTGGTGACAAATTTCACAGGTTCTGATTAGCTGTCCACTTGATACATCTTTGCTGACCAGCTCACAGGCCAGAAAGCTGTTGAGCTCAGTGCCCGTGGTCATTAGATTGTCTCATGTTCAAGTGATCCTTAAGTTCCTACCATTGGCGAGACCTTTCCCTCCTTGCAACTTTCACAACTCATTAACTGTGCTTAAAATGATCAACAGGTTACTGTGGAGGGCAGGAGAGTTGGAGGTGGGGCTGACAGACCAGTACTACGACCTCTTAAGCTTTGCTTCCCGTCAGGATCAGGCTGCTGAAGATTTGCACGCTGGACATCAGCAACACAGAGATACTCAAAACGCCTACCGACCGCGGTGGCTCAAAGGTGAGGGACTGCACGGTGGCTTCAGAAAGCCACGGCACTGGCTTGGATGCACACAGGTTTGCTCTCTGACACAATCATAGAATCATAGAATGTTTTGGGTTGGAAGGGACCCCTAGAGGTGATCTAGTCCAACCCCCCTGCAGTGAGCAGGGACACTGCTAACTAGGTCAAGTTACACATATATACAATATATATACACACACACATATATACACAATGTTATAGCTTGGCGAGAATTAGACTGGAATTAGGAGCCCTATTTTTTTAATCAGAATTTTACTGTTTCCTAAGTGATGGGTGGGTCTTTGAAACAACCAGGTTTCATTACTTACCTCCGTCTTGTAGAACCGATGCACCGCACCACTCAGAGCACACCCAACAAACCCTTCCGCAGCATCCGGATTGTGGAGGAATCGGATTTCCAACGGTATGGAGCCCTTCCCTAGGTCAATTGCCTGAATGTAGGCGTGAGTGCTCCAGTCCCACACATTAATGCGGCGGCCATAGTGCTCTAATGGATCAGGTCAGGCAAACATAAGCACAGGAGATAACTAGTTTAACACAGAATCACTTTTACCTTTGAGAGTTTAAACAAATGCTCCCTCACCTCTCTCTACATCAGCTGGGTCAAACCCATCTGCCAAGACTTTTGGGGCTCCCCATTCGGTGCTCATCAGGACATTGTGCCGTGGCTGATACCAGAAGTCATAACCCAGGGGGGGCACCTCTGCCCCATTCTCCCAATTTCCTTTCACTTCAAAGGTCTCTCCATCCAGCAAAATAAAGCCACCTGATATAAAAAATGAAGAAAATCGTTTGAAGACATTGACACAGATTCACAGCTTTAAATAAGATAAATAAGATATTAATAATTAAATGTCTATTTTCTAAACATGCCGTAAAATGCAACTCTCTGCTTAAGGAAAATTTTGTGATTCTGCTGGTATTGCTTTTGTGGACTAAAGCAAACAAAAGCTGGATTTTTAAAGAACTTCATCATATTGTAATGAATTTTTTAAGCTCCAGTTGGCTCTATTTCTACTCGAGCCATTCCAACAAATCAGTTAGCCTCCTAGAATACATCTCACTTAAGAGACATCTTAGAAAAGTTCCTGGAGGAGCCATCTCTGTTGTTCTTTGCTTGCCACCAATACCTTTGAATTGCATACATAATATGCATCTATTCAAGGACATGTTCACCCATGATCCAGAAGAGAAAAACCCTGTGAAAAGGAGGATCTGAAGTACATTTCTCCTACTAGCTAGTATTTCTCTTTAGATGCCAGGTGGTTTACATCTGCATAGGGAACAAAATTTATAAGCAAGAATCCTTCAAAAGTTTTAAATAGGAAATAGAATGGCTTGAAAGGCTTAATTTTCATTAGACGATGAGACAAAGAGGGTTTAGGTTGGCAACAGAATCTTTCAAGCCCAGGTCACAAATACTGAGCTGACACCAATTATGTTCAAAAGCAATTCTTCCTTGCTCTGGAAGGTGCAACGTTCCCAGGTGAAACGTTCATGGGTTTCTTGCTCATTACAACCGCTAAAGTTGGTCATCTTTAGCAATATATTTGCAAGACTGAGATGTGGAAGCTGCGCTCATCAACAGTCCCACAGAGGGTCCTCCACACCGGGTTCGAATTGCTGTGGCAGAGCAATGTCCCTGCAGCTCACCTGGTGACGATTTAGGCCCTAGTTAGACAAGCAGCGCTGGAATGGTTATGTGCACAGAAGAGCTGTAAGCTCTTAACAGTGCTTCTGGCTTTGCAACTTGTACGTGGGGCGTACGATACTTCTGTACCACGAATACTTTTCTAGAGTAATGAAGGGGATGAATACCTTTCCCGTTGCCAGAAGGGTCTCCCATACAGCTGATTAAGATGTCACCACTGCCCAGACAGTGAGAGGTGTGAGGATTAGCCACGTTACCCTTCCAGAACAACTCCACCGGCTCAACAATCTAAAATGAGTATACACAGTCATAGTCACCTTCTCGGAGATTGCTACAGAATACCAGGTCCGCCCCTAAGAGCTCAGGTTCAAAGAAGAGGAAGGATGGGAATGGCATAGGGGGGATTGTTTCTTTTGCTACTGTGGTTTTTGAGTATCTGCCGCCTCCCGCTTTCTACTCTGCCCAGTAATACGGTACCATCCATAGCGTTTATTTGTTCTTCTCAAAAGTATAAACAGCAAGAGTTGAATGGTTAGAATCAGTCTAATTCCTGCATCAGCAAGACACTGACATCTGCGTTTGTTTTAATTAGTATCAGTGGCAGAAACACCACTTGCGTGCTTCAGACATCAGCTCTCACTGGAGTACTAGCAGTTTTGCGGGGCAGAATAGTTGAAGCTTGCCAGAGACTCAGTTTGAAACAGAATTCACTGTACAAGAGGAGACCTTTGGGGGTTTTACCTCACTGTATTAATAGTTAAAGGCTGGCAAGGTTCTAAAGAACTCAAACCTGAAAGACTACGAATGAGAGAATTTGCAGGCGGGTGGGGTGGGAAAAAAGACCACTTAAAAGTTCCCGTACATTCCACATTATGACCTGGTTTCCAAACGTGATGGAAGAGATCTGCTTTTGCTCAGTGAAAATCCATTGAAGGTGAACTCATCTCTGAACAACATACAATCTACACAGGCTCAGCTGAATGTGTCGTGGAGGACTCTGCCTCATAATCTTGTTGTCAAAACCAATAATGCAGCGTGCAGCTATTTTGACTGAAATTCATACTGCAGAGGCAGGCTGGATTCTGGAACTTCCTAATCTTTGAGTGTTTGACACCACATTTACTCATATTTCTTTAGAGCAAGATTTTTGTGTGTAGTTTATCGATAAATCGTAAGAGTTTCAAAACTCCCATGAGTTCCTAATAATTGACAAAAGCTTCCACAACTGTTCTGTCTCTCCTATTCTAATTTGAAGTTGGAATCCATAAAATCACTGTCTCTTGGTCAAAATATAAGAAACAAAAACCCAGCCTAAAGTCACCTTATGGATTCTAGGAGCCCGCATGTCTGTTCCCACATCCACCACATAAACGCGAGAAGAGATCAGGCTTGGTAGAATCAGACGATTTCTTTTCTTTGTGGCATCCCCAAAGCAGCTGCTACAGGCATTCCACCCTGAATGATGGAGCTCATCCTTAAGATTCGGCATGGGCAGGCGATGGATCACCTACAAAGTCAGAGACAGACTTAAGATTCAGTCTGGTATAGTTTTTCCCCTAGGCAAAGAAATGGGTCTTTATGTCAAAGCATAAATTAATAAAGAGCAGGAGGAAGCTGCTATTTGTTATTCAGGAAGCAGATTGAGCCTGAGATATGCAGAGCTGAAGCTGTAAAGTGGGAGAAGAAAGTTGGACATCACGATTGCACAGTGTTTGTTGAATGTTGTATGCTACTAAATTAATTCAAATCTTTAAAAGACTCTATCTAATTAAGGAGACGTGCAATAATGATATGGAAAAAACAACACAAAAAAACTTGTCCATGTGCTGCAAGTCTCTGACTTTACAAGATTTACCTGATTACAACTGACTGGGGCTGACTGTAGCAAACTGACATGTTAATCGGCACTCTTGCTTCTAATTTTTACTTTTCCACTGCATAACTAAGAACAGCTGAAAGATCACAACTAAGTTTTGTCAAAGTTTTAGGAGATGTGTTTTGTCCACGCCGCAATAAAACCCCAAGCAGTAGATATATAAAAAAAAAAAAAAAAAAAGAATAAATTGTGAAAATCTTTGTTGTCAAACCAGATTTGCTGCTCCTCACACACACGGAGATCAGAGTCCAAAGCACCTTCAGTAATGTGAGTCACGCAAGCACCGCATGTTTAAATACAGTTTAGCGTACGCTATCTGTAGTAGCAAACTGAGCAGCTTAAAAAAATTACCAATATTTTGGATCTGGTATATTGGTAGCTACCGACCCACAGCTTTCCATCTACACAGTAAATGGATCACGTTTATAATGCCTAACGTGTAGAATTTCCCAGGGTATCAGGCATCCTACAGTACAAACTCTGTCTACAGTACTGGCACACCCTGAGGGAAAATCACCTTCTAGAGCTTAATCGGTGTGCTCAGTGTAAATCAGTACGAGTGTTACAAAAAGAACTATTGAAATACTAAGCACAAAACCCCTCTGAAAGTGTCTTGAGGCTAACGAGATAAATGCCAGCTTTGAGTAACCCGGTAAGAAAAACAGCGGCGGATTTGATTGGTTCTCAACACAAAGATCCACTTGAAAATGATTACGAATATTCACCACCCCAGAAAACGTGGCACATTCTACACACAGGTACCTGACAATAGTGTGGAGACTTGGGGTCAACATCCACAGTGGCCAGGTAGTCAGGTTTCTCTATCCCAGTGTTTCTGTAGATACAAGGCAGGTACACAATCTCCTCCCGGGGACCTTTCAAGGCAGGAGTCTTGTTTAATGCATCGAAAGAAACCATTTTTACAGAAAGCTGTGGTTAACCTTAAGAGAATCTTCCCTTCCATCTGTAAATGGCCATTCTTCCTAGGGAGCTGAACCTCAGTATTCCCATTTTATGGAGGAACACCAGTAGTGCGTAGTTTGAGCAGCCAGAAATCACCAGGAGAAAGTGCTTATTCAGCTGTGGGGCCCTTCCACTCCCTCGCCCTCCTAACGTGAGCGGCCCTGGGGGTGCCATTATTTTCCTGAAAGAGGACAGTACTGGAGACCACCTTCCCATCTGCGAAGCCATGCCAAGCCTCTCCTTTCCCCCGTGATGGCTCCCTGCTGCCAGGGCCCGGATTTCAGTCCACCTATGCCAAAAGCCTACTTATTACAGTCTATAAAATTGAGGCTTTTAAAATATATCAAAGGACCCAAGGGGAAGTTCTGACACTATTAAAAGCTACAGCAAAATGCCTCAAGGGCTTTAGCGAGGTTCAGGATTTAGCCAGACGCTGCTGGGAAGAACAGAACCTAACTTCTGTACAGCTGTAAGCAGATGAGAATCTCACCATTAAACTGTCACACAGAACACCCTACTGTCCTTTCTCCTGTATTCCCCTTCTTCCACCCTAGACAGCGACTCAGTGTTACAAGGGTCTGAGGGCACTCCTTAAGTTCTCCATCCAAACACACCAATGAAACTTTTTTTTTTTTATAATGTTAAATGCTTCCACCCAATAGTCTTACAGCAAAGCTCAATTTAGCAGCTTAGAAAACCGGAACAGTTTGGTGAATGGTAGCATCCTGTAACCGTGCACACATCTAAACCCAGCCCCACCTCGGTTTGGTGCTAAGATTGAGTGACCTCATGCTAACAGAGCTTGCACGCTTTGCCCAGAGCTGGGTGCAAAATGAAATAAAACCTCTTCTGACATTTAAAGTCTCCTTGGCCTTGCTAATTAATGAGCCACTCTGGAAGGCATCTACCTAGTCTTCACCCAACTTGAAAACAATTCCTTTACTGATGGCCTGGATTGAGGAGAGATGTTACAGCACTTGCCTTTCATGGCATCCAGAGGAGTTGCATATCCTGGGCCACATGCTTTGCATTTTGCTGTTGGAGAAAAAAAAAAGGAGTTAATTTAATCTGAAAATTATTTTAAAGCATATCTCTACGAGGACATTGTCTTGGCATTCAGAGATTGACAAACCTTAGATCCAGCTTTTGCATTGCCAAACACCTGTAACTCTCACTGACTCCCGTCTGTGCTGAGGTTACTGCAGTTTCTGCAAATATACACAATACGACACCCCACGCTCAAAAATAGTGGGGAATTTGGGCCTGCATTTCAGCAAGTTCAGCCTCACAATTTTAAAGCACATCCATATATGACAAGGGTCTGGGATTTAAGAAAATTGTGTTAAATGTTTTACAGAGAGCTGCTGAATCACTGCCAGATGAGTAAGGAGACAGATTGCCCAATTCGAACAACCCATTTTATTATTACTGGAAAGCCTCCAGTCTTTCTCTGCATATAAATGCTGAAAAGGGGTTATTCTTAAGGATTTACAGCCTGGGTAAGAGGCGATACTGCAGGCAACCAGAAAGGACAAGAGGAAGGGGAATTATGAACCGCGGCCTTCCCCCCCCGCCACTTCCAGCCCCGCAGCTACACCACGAACCAGAAAACCTAGCAGGGAAAACGTAGTTTGAGGAAGTTTGAAAGGGAATCTGAACATCGTTCAGAGAAGAGAACCCCACAGAAGCAGGAGGACCACGTCCGGTTCAAGGCTGGGCTCTGCGTCAGGGGGAACACCTCATTCCCTAGTGGCAGAAGACAGAAGCGATGCTCTGCACCGAGCCAAAACCAAGCCATGCATCTGGGTGTCTCCAGGCACAACCCCCAGAATTTCAGTGGAGAATGGGAACTGCAGCAGTTGTTATCTACAGCTCCTCTGCCTGGAAAGCAATGTGTTCACTTCCAAAACGATAGGATCCCTGTAGCAGGATTTTCCAGAATTAAGAGCTCGATCCTCAGCAAGCATAAAGCGCTGCTCGCTGCTAACACGTAATACCTCACAAGCCTTTCAGCTTAGTTCTAAAAAGTTTCTTAGCACCTTTTGTGTCAGTTTGGATCTCAATCCATACCTAAGTAAAACTGACATTAAAGCAGCCTCGTACACAGCAACTCCTCCCCTAACAGTCAACAGAACACGTATGCTCAGGATTGCATCAATAAATTGTTGGCTAAAATAAAGAAAATATTATCCCAAAATATTGCTTTCAGGGGCAGTTGCCCCATGTTGCAGATTGGTAGGCTTAACAGAAAGCTCTGCTCTTCTAGAGCCAGGGAGCAGCAGGCCAGCTGACCAGCGTGCCGGACGCTTCAGCTCCATTCCTCACTGGCACTGGGGTGCAACCAGCTGCTTAAAACACAAAACTACAGAGGTGCTGTGCAGCAGGATGCCAACATCTTCTCTCAGTATGACACGAAGTGAAGTATGTGTTGACAGAAGCAAAACTACAGTAGAGTTGCCTCCCTCTGTAATAAAAATAAGCAAACTAGGTAATTGCTTGCCATGCTCTGATATTAAAAAAGCTAAGTTTATAGCAACAGGTTTTTTTCAGAATGCCACAGACCTAAGATTTCAAATCCAGAGGCAGTGACAGCTCCAGTGCCCATTTAATTACGGAGCCTTTCTTGGAAGGCAAAATGCTTCAAGCAATCCACTCGCTGCATGTGGAGGCTCCTGACTTCAAAAACGGGATCTTCTCAAAATGAGTAATTTAGTATGTTAGGTTGAATTTCACATTCTTTGTGAAATATTTTTATCTGGAAACACAAAATATAAAGTTTGCTTTGTTCCATTTATGTCTAAGCCATAATTTAAACTTTATTCCAATTTTCTCAATCACCTAAATTAGCAGGAGCTCAGTCTGCACCAGACCGCAGCTCAATTAGCATTGCAAATGCACGCTTCCGCAGATTACTTTGAGAAAAAGATTATTTGTGCCAAATTGTTTTCCAGAGAGAACGTACAGCAAGATGATGAACGTTTTCTGTTCCTTCTTCTCATGCACATTTTTTTCTCCTTTCCCTCTGATCTTGTTCAAACACCCTTTTGTTCTGAGCCATTGTATCTAACTGCCTGAAGACATCGGCGGATGACGCCAGCCTTTCCGTGTTATACCACGCCAAGCTCATTTGTGAATACAAAATAAGGGGTTTGTCACGAAACTGTGATTTGTACCATCTTGTAGCAACACGCTAACAATAATATTTACATTGCTATGCTAATAATCCACGGTTAAACATGTTCATACTACTCGTTAGGTTCCAGATCCCCCATTAATCTGGCAGTTGACCCAGTGCTTTGAACACCGGAAAGTTGGCTCCTGTATCACACACGTGTGGTTTGCCACCTCCGGCGAGGACAAAAGCGTTGAGATTGTCTCTTGCACCACAGGTTACACCTTTACAGGCCAATTCTCCTATGGGCAGCTACCCACCCACAAAGTCCACCTTCCTTGCCTTTCCAAATCAAAGAACGTTTCTCTACCGCCATAAATCAAAGAGCGTTTCTCTACCGCCAATAGCTCACGTGTGAATTTAAGAGGAAGAACACACGCATCTAGCTTTAACTGCTTCACTGTACCATTTTCCTTTTTTCACAAATGAAGTTACAATAAGCCCAATTCCTCCTCCCTCCTATGCAATTATTTGTGTATATACACCAGGAGCTGATAAAAATATCACGGGTCCTTTTGTTACCGCTGTCTACGGCAATTCCCTCTTGTGGAGAGCAAAGGCCATTGGGGAATCCAATCTAGCTTCCTTTTGCTCTGTATTTTTTCATGGCGTTCCATCTGTTCTGTTCCTCTTTTTGGAGGACAGGAGGGACAGTAAACCAAAGTCCAGTCCTTCGTGAGCCACCCACAATGACCCACAGGCCGCCCTGGAAAACTCCATGCAAATCAACAACACTGTTTGGGGATATTTTGCTAAAAGCCGTAATTTCCCACCTAAGGCATAATGAAGGACTCCCTGCAGCTTTCAGTAACTCCGTAAGTTCCAGACAAAAAGGAGGCAGTTGCCAGAGCCATAAACGTTAAAAGAGTCCCTCTGATGGTGGCAAAGACACCGCGCTCTTTTGGTTGGCAGTGAAGAATAAAACGTTTCCTTTCGCTCATTTTGGGGGGCACCAAGTTGTACCACGGCGCCAAGTAAAATCGCACACTGTGCAAGGTCAAAGGACGACGCCTGGACCTGTCACAGCAGTCACAGCATGGAGAACCAGCCCAGATGCCTCTGGGTTCATCCGCCCCTGTTAGCGGCTGAGCCAAGTCCCCGCGTTACTCTGCAACCCTGAAGACGAGCGCTGCCTCTGTCAGGCAGGTGATGAAGATGCCTCTCCGCCTCTTGAAGGGCTGTAAAGTCTTCAGAAATGCTGAGCTCCTCAGGGCAAAGAAATATGGGGAAATACAGACCGTCCCGAAGGACAACAAATACCAGAAAACATTATAAAAGCAAGATTTGGGAGATTGTTTTATGAAAAACTTCTGAAAGGAGCTATTTTTTTAAAAAAGGCCAATCCATTTATACTTGCCTAATCTGTGTGTTAAAAGTTTTGAAGTGATATGCAAAGCCTCAGAGGAAGCTGCAGCACGAGCAAACCACACTCGCATTACCCTGGAGTCACTCGTAGTCTGGATAACGAGGTTTATAGATTTACAGCACCGGGTAACAGCACTGTAAAAAAAAAAATCCCACCTGATAAGAGTGCAATTTCATAGTCAGTTCATTAACTATTAACACAAGAAAGAGGTATTCCTTGATAGTTCGGGTTTAACAGTGTGAAATAAAGTTAAGGAGCAGGAAAGACCTTGTCTTTTTATATGCACTGTTTTGTGGCAGCGGAGCTCTTCAGCTCGATTAAGACAACCTGTGAAGGTGCCCAAGACTCTTTGTACGGGGAGTTTAAGAGAAATGTGGCAATAAATGAGGCACCTCTGTCGAGAGCTTAAAGTTAGGGGGAATAAATCTGGGCCAAACTGGGCTTTTTGTGGAGCCTGAGTAAACAGAATGTCCTCTGACGTTAAGGTGTATGTATGGGTTAGACACTGACATCCTGGTAAATGAAGGAAGGCAAATCTGGTTCATGGTACCGTTGTGCTAAACTGTGGAAATAAACACACAAATGGGCAAAAAGCAATGAGTGTGTCAGCTGCACTGCATACATGACAAGACAGAGGCCTTCCAGAACAACCGTGACAAAGCAGCATGTTCTTTATGGAATACCACTCTTTTTCTAAGCAACAAATCACGCAAGCAGACTTTAATGATCTCTTAAATTTTTGAAGAGCAGTCCAAGACTTGTTCTTCTACACTGCCAAGAGCGTCCTTTTCCAAGCCTTGTGCCCAATCAATCACCATCGTGCTACTGCGAGCCTGAAGGTGCAGCGTTTAACTTACTCTTTACACACTGCCTAGCGACTTCTTACAGACTGCCAGGGCCATCCAGACAAAACTGTCGCTATCACAAGTCACCAACTGAAACTTCAGGCTGTTAGAAAGCAAAGCAAAACAAATGTAACTGCACTACTAGCACTTACAAAAGCCCAGAAAGATAAACGGTCACCCTAGGCAGATAAGCCAGACAGACGCTTCTGCTGACTCAGAATCGGCGGGTTTGGCTCTGTAATAGCGGCTTTTATTTTTTACCAAGGTCTACGATCTTACCCTGTTTTGTGAAATCACAACGTAAGTGCAAATTACACAAGAACACATTCACGTGCAAAAAACCGTTCCATCTATTTCAGTCCCCTCCCTCCGTTTCCTGTCCATGTATCCAAAAATGAACGTCGGTAAAAATGATACGGTCTATCACAAAAATATAAGCAAAAAGTTAAATTCTGGTCCTCAGTTTCCCGACAACCTTCCTAGGTCATTCACGTTCACAGTCAACCACAGCAGTGAGTCCAAATGCTTATTTCAGTTTCTAAACGTTGAGGTACTAAAAGAGACATTTAATGGTAGCGTAAAAGGCATTTACTGATGGCATTAAAGCTACTTATCTAAAACCACAGCGGGGTTAATAGCTTAAAGAAGTAAACCTTTTAACAGTCGGAGGAAACGCTGAACTCCAGCCCCGCGCCTCTCCTTACCAGCCCACCACGCTAACACGCCCGCTGGCCCCTGCTTACACCTTTCACGGTGCGGAACCTTAGCCAAAAGCGGCAGATCCCCGCTGGATCCACGGGCTGCATCTCTTACCCATGTCGGAGCAGACGTTCCGGGCTGCTGGGGCGTGCAAGTGGAAGTACAGCCGCCTGGACTGGGGGATTGTGAAGCCCGAGCTGCCTGGAGAGGGTCATATATGCAAGAGCGAAGGGGCGGGCAGGACAGGGAGCAAAGCTGCCAAGGGGAGGATCCAGCACAGCTGGCAGCGCGGGAGGACCGGGGCAGAAATTCAGCTTCTACTTCCCGGGAGAGGTTGGCGGAAGCATTCAAAGCTCTGCCGGAGCCCACGTCCTCTGCTACACCTGACTCTGTCCCCGCTGCACCTTCCGCCCGCCCCCCCTTTATATTCCAGATATGTTTACATTACGTGACAAAATGTACCCGAGTAACCGCCCTCACGCAGACGGAGCCTGCACGCTTTCTAACAGCGGAGGGGGAAACAGTTGTGCTTTAAACCTCTTGATTTTGGGCAATGTGTCAAGTTCTGCAGGAGTCAAGGCGTGCCAGACCAGATCGCAGCTCTCGATTGCGTCTGGCTTGGCAGGCAGCGATGTCTTTAACATTTCACGGCCCTGTAGTCCCTTAAACAAGACAACTACAAAAAGACAACTTGCCCGCTGAAAACTTCCCAGAATTACTTCTTAAAGGAGATTCTTTCAAGATTGACAGCTGCCCCAGAGTACTGGAAAATCTGGATTTCACTTCTTATTCCATCCGGGATTCTGCTAAACTGTCTCTAATAAGAATTAGTCTATTACTTCCCATTGTTTTTTTAAAGGAAAGTACTTTTTCCCAGGCAACATCACCTCTGTCACTTCCAAAACACCCTCACGGGAGGACACTGCATTTTACTGCCCTGTCTCCCTTCTCTGCCTTTTACAAAGCCACCGGTAGCAGCAGAAAAAACAAACGGTGCAGGAAACGCTGCAACTATGGGAGCAATTCCCTCCATCAGGCCGAGAGAGTGCCGGGGGAGCTGACACACAACCTATAACTACCCATTTGTTTAGCTTTATTTAGTGAACGGGGCCTTTTTTTCCTGATCACGAATCAGACAGATGCAGTCTGTTAACCTGTCCACCGCTTCAGCCTGCCAGCTGAGTGTTTTGTGCAAACAAATTCTTGCTCAGAAACGCTTTCCTCCCAGTTTTGTTCTCAGTCCTCCACAGCTGCAGTCAGGCATTGGAACTGTGGGACAGGCCATCCGAGTCACGTCTCCCTCATCTCATTTGATGGGCCTGCTTCTCCTAACTGATTCAAAAAGATAATTTTTTTTTTTAAAAAAAGAAAAGGTATTTTTATTATTTTGGCCCACAAATCCTCAGTGTGCATTGGACCGTTCGGCTTTCATTAACAAGTCCTTGCATACCTACCCCTCTTTCTGGTCTTTCCCTCCTCAGATTCAGCCTTGTCTGTCCCAACAGTTCCTTCCCTTCTTAACCTTTCATTTTCAAATCACTCCTTTACTACACATAAGCTCGATTCAGTGGGTTTTTAAGCCACTATTAAAAAATGTGAGTAATTTATTTCATAAACTCGAGAGGCTGTGTTCTCAGGAGGCACCATGCGACGCTAAGTGAAGATCCAGCTCAAGGAATCAGCCCTGCCTTTTCAGACCAGCGTGCTCCCACCGAGCCCCGCTGCTGCCAAAGGGACTCCGAGGATGAACGCAAGTTCACAAACATCACTGCAATTACAAGATCTATGACCTGAATTTTAGGCAGAGTGGGTGGGAGTTCAGCCATTCTCAGCAATGACCTACTTTGCTGCCATCAAAATCACCAGGAGTTCCAGCTCTCGAGGTCAGCAGGAGGACAGTCAGGCCAGCGCCACGCACCCACTGGCCTCGTGCGAGGAGAAACACTGCTGGAGAGCAGGGGAGGCATGTAATACAAACACCACAAAAATGTGCAAACTGATCAGGCAACAGTTTACTTCTGTTTAAATTATGTGACCCAGCAAGGAACGTGTTATTGCTCGGGATGAAAACGCATTCTGTTAACTCACGAGTACTCTTGGCTCAGGTCTCGTGCCACCGTGGAGGCACCAGAATCTGCTGCACACCCTGGGACGTCTCCATCACAAAACACAAACCCAGAGAGAGGCCAAGATGAGTTTGTACACATCCGGAGGCTTTGGAACAGCCTCAGAGGCAGCCTGAAGCAGGGAAGTTGCAGAAGAGATGCTAGAGATTAAAAGAAATGCGTGCCAAAGCGGGCGGGCGGGAAGAGCCTGGTGAAATTGTTACGAACAACTCGTGAGATAAAATCCATTGAGTGAAACAGGACTGTGTTAAAAACAAACCCACACGAGCAGCCACAAATACTTTCATCTAGACCTTCACAGGCTAACCGACGCCGCGCCACCTTTCCCCAGCTTCTGTACAGCTCTCGCTGCCGTGACACCCTGTGCTGCAGCTCAGACCGGGCAGCGCAGGCCTGATTTTTGCATCCTGCATCTAGAAATTAATCTCATTGAAGTGCCATCACTGCGATTTGCAAACATCCTTTATCAAAGCAGAATACTTTTATCAACACATCAGCACGCTTCGCCTCGAGGGACGGTTAGAATACATCATTATATTTATGGCAGCACCAAAAAACGTGTAGCTAGGGCCAAACACACTTGTTTCTGGCCCATACCCTTCAACGGCATCTGAACTGCCAATTATGCCTGAGGCGAGTTCTGATTTGGTTCAGAACAACCTGACAAGATGGTTTATCTAGTTGGTTGCTTCAAATACCAAAGATTCCCAATCAGCCTCACTCCCCTGTTCTGCATGCCACTCATTACGTGCTGCGTGGGACAGAGAACTCGGCTTTCTTCTCAAAGAAGCCTGGAAACACGGGACCATGCCAATGCCTGTCCCATCTCCGCTTTCCATTACATTTTCATTACGTTTCATGAGCAATATGGAACAAGTCCAGGTATTAAGGCCAGGATCTGAAATGCTCTTACTTCTGTTCTTCTTTCTGAGCCTTTGTGTAGTTCCTTCTCAGCTGATACAGCGTGCTGCATGATCTCATAGTTCAAGGTACCATTTTTCAGATGTTTGATCCAGATTCTTCCAAGGTGGATACAATGTGAAAATTCATCATTTTCAACCCAGGACCTACCAACAATGGAAAAACAGACCGTAAGCTCTCTAGCTGAACTGAGGTCCTGTGTATGACACATGCACAGCAAATGGGATATTGGGGCCCTTGTCTTTTATTGAAAGTCCTTGTACAAAAGCACCATAAAAAGTATAAATTATAATTATTAACTGTTATAAACTGGACCAGGCACATATCAAACAGTTCATATAGAACCATGGGAAATAGCTACAGTCTGAGTTAGAAATTACTTATTTCCTCAATGCTCTGGAGAAGTTTCCAACTGGCCATCTGTCAACCTTTCTGTCTACCCCACTATCGATGACTTTCTGAACTCAGTAACGTGTTTACAGAATTAAGCAACCAGAAGTTATGTGTTTTGTTTTTATAATTTGTCCTCACATCATACAAAGTGCAAAGCCTCTTCGGGAGCAGGATCAGGACCTTCACATTGCACTCGTATTTTCATTCTAGTCGTAGAACTAATACAAACATCTCTCCTCCCTCTCCAAACATCTCAATCCTCTCCCCAAAACAAGAATATGAGAACAAAAATCTAAATGTCATTGTCAAAGAGTACAGCAACTCAGAATTCCCTGTTGTGTGGTTGGCTTGGTAGACAGTTTAATACCAAGGCTTTATCCTTTAAATGTTTATGAAAACATGGTGTCAATTTAAATGAATCTTTACAAAACAAGCAAAATCTTGCAAACCTCAGGCAAAAACATCATAGAGAATGTTGCCTGAGTAAAGACTATTGCATTTAGATGAGCAATCTTATTTCTTTCTTCTCTTGATTGTGCAGAAAGTATTAAAGCAAAGGAAAAAAAGAGAAGAAATCCAAACAAAGGCGACACAAAAATAAACCCCCAAAGCGAAAAGCCCAGCAAAACAGAGCAATCCACTGGAGACAGATTCATTCACCTCTGAAGAGGATGGGAAAGAAAAAACCCCACGCATGGCAAGCAGCAATCAGATCATCCGATGGACAGCGGGAAGAACCTTCAACCACCACGAGGATGAGGGCAGAATAAGACCTGGTGAAGGATTACAATCAGGAAACATATTAAGAGGCCATTGTGTTTGCAAAGTCAAGCACTCATTAATAAAAGCTATGGTTAAGGGTGTCAGTATAAATTCAGCTCAATCCCCTTTGATGCTGATATAAATTAAATTCAGTTCCCTTTTAAATGTGCACTGTAAATCCTGTATTGTGAAACAGCTCACCATTATTTTTTCATAAGATACACTCCTAATTCAATTCATTAATTTTGACCATTTAGTGTATAACCCCAAGGTTATCAGAAAGCCCCAACACATTCCAACCAAGCACAAAATGCATTTTTTTTAACTGCTCTATATGAACGTTGCCATGAGTGTTCTATAAACACTATTAAACATAGCTGCGCAATGCCCACTACGTTAGGTGGCACCATTTAGTTTATTTGACAATTGATGACGAGAGAGAGGAGACTTGTAACTCCGTTGATCAAAATCAATTACCAAATTTCAATACTCACTTTAAAAAAACCCAAGCATTCAGCTTATTTATAGTAACGTATGCAGCTCACCTCTCCTTTCTGCAAATACGGCTGCAGATGTTTTGTGCTGATCACCCAAAACAGAAAACTACTCAATTACCGGCCCAATTTGCAGTTTGACTCATCCACAAGAACTCGGGAGTCAATGGAGACACCAGAATTTATTTTTGAGAATTAGCAGAGGATAAATGAGGTTGTGGAAGACAAAAAAGAGTCAATCGCAGCCTACCTTCAGAAGAAGAAACCGGGACGTATACACCACTCATCTTCTTCACTCCCTGGAACAATTGTTCAACGATTTGTTAGAACCTTAAAATGACTTGGAGAGAAGTAGCCTGCAATTACCAACAACAAATCACAGCACACCCGTTTCTGTCTACGATTTCTATGTCTTTTGACAACTTCCAAATTTTGTCACAACTCCTACGACAGAGCTTGCTGTTAAATCCTGCGGTCATGCTACCTGAAGGAATCACAGTTTCTCTTTTCAAGAGGCAACACGCTAAGCCTCATCTTTATGGGGAGCGTGCAGCTTGCAGCTGAAGCAAGTACAAAATCCCATACGTTTAGTATTTTCAGTAATTTCATAACTTTTAAAGAAATTGCATAATCTTGGAGAGCCCCATCTTTTACTTCAAGGTTGATAATAATGAAATGACAACAACCAGATGTTTAGGGAAACTGCAAA